ACAAAAAAGGGGCTTCGTGAACATTGCTCCAGGTGATTTTATTTGGGCCGAATGCCACGAATGAATATTGTTGGTTCTTTACTAAACTGCGTATAGCAAATGATTTTTTAAATTGATGTTTGCAGGAATGTGTGGCTGTCTGTAAAGGTAAAGGGGAAAAATCATAATGATGATGATAATGATTTTAATTTTAACAATGAATCTAATAAACTCATAGGAAGATATGCGCAGTGTTATCCAAAGGAACACAATTTACTAAGAGCATTTGCATTTGCAGCAATATATATATATATATATATATATATATATATATATATATATGGTGTAAGATGACAGTTGGGAAAAAAATAAAAAACATTTTGATTTCATTTTTGGCTTGAAAAAGTCGGAAGACAAAACACATCAGCAAAAACTAAGATTTTTTTCTAATTGTCATCTCATACCAATTTGTCTTGTTCAAAGAATTGATCTGGGAATTTAACTCATATATTTATATATATAACTCATTTATCCTTTAACTCATATATATACATATATATATATATATATATATATATATATATATATATAGAGAGAGAGAGAGAGAGAGAGAGAGAATATTGTATTTGGGAAGCAAACCCCTTTTTTATACAAGTTTCATTAAAAAGACGACTGACTAAGCGACTGTGGTTAAGTTTTTATTTTATTTAATTTTTCTTCTGTTCTTATATTTTTTTTTTTTTTGTTTGATTGTTTGTTTGTTTTCTGGACATAAATTATGTAGAAATTGTCTGAATGTTCTGCATGTCCAAATGATTTCTGTTATACTTTTAGCAATTATCAAAGATCATTTTATTTTTACTTTTAACTGAATGTATGAATTGTTTTATATAAGTATGTATATTGATAGAAATGTGTTCATAGTTGATATTATTGATTCTTGGCTTTTTCTTTTTATTAGTAATGATTTAATTATTTTTAGCCTTTCTTACATGTGGATGAGGCTATTATCGTTGTATTTATCAACGATTATGTGGCAGACAGAGTTTGTTAAGTCTTCATGTATATTTAAATGAGACATAATTTAGCACTGGTCAGAGAGAATTAACGAGAGTCTTCTTGTTAGGCATGTTGAAGTATATCCAATATAATTATTTATGAATTTTGATTGATCAGAAACACAGTTCCTTAAGGGACATATATATATATATATGGAAAAACAATATATAATTTTTTATATATATCAAGAAACAATTCAGAGAAAATGAATATGACAAAGCGTAAAATCAGACTTAAGTGATGTTATGATATATATATATATATATATATATATATATATATATATATATATATATATATATATATATATAAAAGAGCAAATAGGAAACATTTATAAATCTAATGTGTTTCACATTTATTAAAGCTTCATCAGAGAATTATATATTGAGAAAGGAAGAAATTATAGTATTTTTACTTTGTTGTTGTTTAATTTTCATTTGTTAAGCAGTCTTCATGCGCATTTTACTTGATAAACAGCGTTAGTATAATTTATGACGTTCTGAACTCATGCAGAGATACCGCGTCCATTCGAAGCTCCAAAAAGAAAAGACTGTATCCTACCCGGAACCGTCATATAGCCTGATGTGCTTTTATCGATTTCGCCACAGAGGATCGTTTCGGTTTTACTGTTTTTAAACTACAATTTTTCATGAGGATAGGATTCGATTCCTGTCGGAGGACGCATATTTTCTATAACAATTTCTCGGACATTCAGGCAGGTAAATGTTGTTAATACTGTTTATTATAAACAGAGCATTTACTTAAATATTTGTATCTATAAAAAAGAATGTATGAACATAAAAATGTCTTAAAATAATTGTCATATATATATATATATATATATATATGTCAATCATTACCTATCCTCACTTCCTACTACCGCCTTTTACATTAAGACCACACACCTCATGCGATAACCCTCTATCTTGAGTGGTTCTTGAGCCTTGTATTGGGTGAACATCAGCAAAATAATAATAAATATATATATATAACATAAAAGATTGTTTTTCGAAAATAAAAACGTTCTACCTTGATAATTCTACCATAAGTTTAAATATTATGGTAGAGTAGGGGAAAACAAGTGATCATTTAATTCATATCGATCTATATATATATATATATATATATATATATATATATATATATATATATATATATTATATGAAGTCTGATAAAAAAGTATGAGAACTGTTGCTATGGTAACGGAGATAACTTGTGCAGAGTGAAGCCGTTTAGTACAGACTGACCTTGAACCCTATCACGCTTGAACACTGTTTATAGTAGTGCTCAAAAGAAACACACCACAAAATTTCCATCAATGACCATGACTTGTGCAGTAGTTTTTGGCTAAGTACAACATTTCCCATGTCCGGCAACCACCATATTTCAAGTCGTCGCGGTAGTCCAAGCGAATGCGACGAGGTAGCATCTCGCTATCCGCAAAAAGGAGTTCCAGGAATGCTTCCATCAATGGAAATAATACTGGATAATGCGTGTGGCTTCAGAAGATGACTACTTCAAGGTGATTAAGTACCGAATTGATATGTGTTGTAGTTTTCTTGTTATAGAACCAGTCCCGATAATTTTTAATCAGACCTCGTATATACTATAGGCTTAGATTTGGTTACTGCCAGGATTTAATAATTAGTCAACACAGGAAGAGAAAGTCCTTCTGACCCGAAGTGAGCGCCGTAAATTAGTTTTGAAAAAGGCACAGAACATTCAATTTTTATGCGATTCTTCGAAATCTAGGGGATGGCACCCCAAACTTTTGGCCTTCTATCTATCTATCTCTTTATATATATATATATAATTATTATTATTATTATTATTAGGTACAGAAACAATAATCATGAGCAAAAAGAGTAGAGAGTAATCAAGGGGAGAGTTGATAGCGATTGACATTGCATTTACATTTTTGCAGATTAAAGTTGGCTGGAAAGCATGGAGCCTGAAGGGAGTTCCACAACCGAGAAGTGCGAGAAAAGAAACGGTCAGCATAGAACATACAGCTACATCTAGCCAGCTCAAGTATAAAGTGATGAAATCTTGACTCCAGACGAGTACTGCGCTTAAATTTAAAAAAGTCATAGAGTCATAGTGAAGAGCCATTCGAACAATGACCATAAAAAGTATTTATAGAAAAGACAAAGATAGGCAACCTTACAGAGGAAGGAAAGTGACTGAAGCTGAGCCACCAGATCAGGCCACCAGACCAATAATATATATATATATATATATATATATATATATGTCAAGGTCTGGTCCCTCCTTCCCCAATACTAAGTATGACTGAAAGAAATATTAAAATAGACTCACTCTAAACTCGACCATGTATCTCACACCACTCCTCTGTTAAATTACATAAACTTAATACTATCCGTTAAAAGTGTGAATTTTCATTTCATCTTTCGTTTCATTTTTTGGAAGTATTATCTGATGATCCAGCGTCCTTTAAAAGGGCTCTGATGAAATAAATTATTATAATGGAACCTTAAAGTGGTCTGTTTTTCTTTAATATATATATATATTCTAGAAAGAAATTCGGATTACCAACACACAAACAGAGAATGTCTCATATCGAGAATATTTCACATTGAACATGAAGAAAAATTAATTATTTTTAATAATATGTAGAAATCTCCACTTTTACCTGAAGACGGTCGCGAGACCAGAAACACTTGTCGTAAAATTATGTAAAACAAAGCATAATATTTTTTCTAAATACATCCACATTACAACCAAAAACGTTAGCGGCACCTCTCTTCTCTTTTTAATATACATACTTTTCTCTCGTTGGAACCACTACAACATATTTCTTTTATATTTATATATATATATATATATATATATATATATATATATATATATAGAGAGAGAGAGAGAGAGAGAGAGAGAGGCTTGATTTATAACCACACATATCCATGGCTAGCACCATGCTGTTTAAGGAAGACTCATGAAGGCCAGGAAAAGGTGATACCAACTATTTGAGATCAGAAGATAACAAAGGAAACAGTGAAAGCAATGTCAAACTTTCATTCCACGCCCTCCGCATCTTTTTCTTTAAACAGATTTATCGAATATTTAAGCCAGTAGACCAAAATAAATATACTGTTTAAAATAAACGGGGCGTCTACTTTATATATATATATATATATATATATATATATCTTGTTTGTTTTAAATGACGTTTAAACTGATAAAAATCTGTTGTATTAATAAATAAAAATGCAATGCTTCTTTAGAAATTAATTTGTTTATGTTTCGGATATGAAACTGAGAAGATATGAAATTTCGTGAATCTAGAACGAGAAGGATTGTACTTAAAAAAGGCAGTATTCGGCCTTACTTGATCGGCGATGTTTTCTTTTGCCGAGTCGGTTAAAAGCGCGTCAGATCTAACTAAGGTCTTTTCTTGCTAAGATGGGTATATATATATATATATATATATATATATATATATATATATATATATATATATATATATTCTTCTTCTTGCGTTTATTTATTTATTTTTAAGAATAAGATAGCGTTCATTGTTTTGATTTTTTTTTAAATAAAGCGTTGGGAGGTCAAGTGATAAAAATCCACTGAGAATGCCATAATGTTGAAACAAGGTAGCGAAATCAACTGATCTCCTAATTTTTAATATGATATATTTTTTTTTCTAATATATATATATACAGAGAGAGGGAGAGAGAGAGAGAGATTCTGCACCTTCTGAAAAGGAATTACAAAAGTTTGTTCTATTTATTTTTCTCTCAGGTTACTTAACGTTTTACGTGTCTCACCGAGAATTTCCGACATTTCTCAAAATCTTTCCACTACGAAATAAGCAAATCTATTTTCTACCAATTTGTTTCGTTGATAAAAGCATTTAGCAACTTAAGGTTTTTCCCGAACCTTTTGCTATAACCACGTCAACTGAATTGCCCTCTTCATCTCAAGTCCTGGGATTATTGTCACATCATGTTGCAAACACCGGTTTTCGTACGATCAATGAAGTTAAGCAACGTCGAATCTGGTCAGTACCCTGATGGGTGATCTCTTGGGAATACCAGCTGCTGTAAGCTTTGATTATGCCGCTAAACAAAAGCAAGCAACCAACAAAGTCCTGGAGGAGTATAGCGTTGAAAATCAAAAGACGTGAGCCATAATAAATCCAAACTTACAACTCGTGCACCTAATAATACATAAAGCGTGCACTATCTCATGAATGGACAACTTTCCCTTGTCTATAGAAGCGTCTGGACTTATATGGATGGTATTATCCAAAAGGCATTTGCACGTAATTGAGTGGAACGAACAACTAGATTGTAATCCGAACTCGGCTTTCTATTTTCTCATTCAGAGCCGCTGTCCATTACACCAACGTCACATTCGGATTGAGGCATAACTCGATTTTCGAAGCACGAACTGTAATAATCTGTTCTCTGACTTTCTACAAAGATTTGGACACACACACACGCACAAGTTTATTATTACAGCTTACAGTAATTCTGTATTTATGTGTGTGCGCACGTACACATGTTTGGATAGAAAATATCTCAGAGGAGCGTATGGCTACCACGTGGGTGGATCGTAAGTCCTGCCATGCAGAGGATGATTACTTGTATATCCAATTTGATTCAAGCCTTTTCAATACGCTTTTAAGGTTTTATTTTTCTAACAATAATAAAGTATAACCGCCATTTGGGATTTGATTTCTTCTATTCTCTGTAACACACCCAACTTTTTTTTTGAAAGGAGAAAAGAATTTCCACCAAAGAAATTAAAACCTTCAATATACAACTTTTTATTTCTACTTCTGAGTTATTTTATATTTTTATTTATTTTGCTGTTTTTGCTTATGTGTTTTGTTGTAGCATGTTTGTTTCTTTTTTCAATTTAATTTTTATGCGAATTTTCTTTAATTTTCAAAATCTACCGATATGCAATGATTCTGATCTTTATTTTATTATATCAACCAATGCAAGGCAGTAAAGCCATTAAGACAAAGGGTTACTGAGTGTGAAAAAAATAAGAAAAAAAGAGAAACATGTTGTTCATGATGACGGTCGTCTTCGAGTATAGAATCCAGAGGTTAGCAGTGAATATTTCGAAGACAGTAGGAAAGCGTTGTTCAGGTAAGCAGTGGATATTTCGATAAAAGTAGCAGAGCGTAGTTCGTCCTTCTGTTTCTCTTCGCCTGACAAGCTGGACTGGTCATCCGGATAGAGTAGACAAAATGGCCGCCTTTATACACGACGGATTGAATGTTCTACGTCTTCTGATTGGTTAACCTTCTATTGATGGACTATAAAGTGAGTCAAGTCATTTGGATTGTCTCACTAGTACAAAAACCTGCAACAAAACTTTATTAAGAAGCGATGAAAATAGAGGAACAATCAAGAAGACAGGTAGTGTAACGGATACCGACGCGGAAAATTGATTTGGCGACAAAGTTCTAATTTCGGTTTTGTCGGTTGCGTTCACTTTTGCAGTAATTCCCCTGGGAAATGAACGAATCCGTCTCTTTCCTCCCCCACTCTCAAATCTGGGTTAAATTGCCGGGTAGACCGGGCTATTTAGTCTTCGGTGGTGATCAGTCTAAAAGAAGAAAAATTCTGAATTCCAAAACATGACAATTCACAGCAAATCAATCCGTGAAGATTCATGATCGCCTACGTCCAGAAGGGACCTCGTATTACAAATAAATCTCATTCACCATGGCTGTTAGAGTGAGTTCAAGATTTATTACGTTCGCTTGTAGCGTTGTCGTGTTGGTTCGTTGATATTTATCAACACCTCTATGGATTACTTAATGCCGAAAACTAAATATTTTCTACATAATTTTATGCTTTCAATTGCAGATAATTTTATACTTTTAGATAAACTCCTCATTCCGAAATTTAATTTTCTTGGCAGCTTTGAATTAATAAGAATCTAATATATATTATTCTGCTTTCACAACTGAATACATGGTAGCTTTTGTGTAAATAAATGTGTGTGTGTGTGTGTAGACATAATTACTAGAGGCGGTGATATGTTGTAGTTTTGTTGAAGGTATATTTTTCGAATACAGTTTGGTTTCTTTATTAAATTTATGATATATGAACTTGCTATAGACCGGTTCCTTGTACCACGGTGATAATGCAAGGTAGAACCAATAAAGAAGAACTCGAACATGGATATGGAATAACACAGATATATTACAAACAGGAATATATACAGAGACGTAGAAAGTGTTAGTACGAACAATCAGGTTTAGAAGCAATTGTCTGAATGCGATTCTGTTTCGGACTGCCTCTGACTCGACTGACTGACTCGCTCGCTCTGACTGACTGACAGACTCCTGACGGACTTCACTCCAAACTTCAGACGGAACAGTATTTAGTCACCCCCCCCCCAACGAGGGCATCATTAAGGCCGGATTAACGTGGGATCTCCGAGCTCGTGGGCTCGGCCAAAAATATGCCCTTTGAACCCGTATAAACGGGTTCAGGGTCGGTTTACCTCCCCGACAGGGAGACTCCGCCCTTCGGTGTATCCTCGTTCTGGTTCCTCCCTGCCTGAAGGGAGAGAGTTCAACTGATCAGCCGGTCGTCCGACTTCAGGCTGAGCGGTATTTAGTCACCACCCCCCACGAGGGTATCATGTGGCACAAGGCCGGTTTAACGTGGGATCTCCGAGCCCGTGGGCTCGGCCAAAAATATGCCCTTTGATCCGTTCAGGGTCGGTTTATCTTCCCGAAAGAGACTCTGCCCTTCGGCGTAGCCTCGTTCGGGTTCCTCCCCGCCCGAAGGTAGAGAGTTCAAGCGATCAGCTGGTCAGCCGGTCGCCCGACTTCAGGAAGAACGGTATTTAGTAACCCCCCCAACGAGGGCATCATGTGGCACAAGGCCTGTTTAACGTGGGATCTCCGAGCCCGTGGGATCTCCGAGCCCGTGGGCTCGCCCAAAAATATGACCATTGGACCCGTATAAACGGGTTCAGGGTCGGTTTACCTCCCCGAAAGAGAATCCGCCCTTCGGCGTAGCCTCGTTCGGCTTCCTCACCGCCCGAAGACAGATAGTTCAACCCATCAGCCGATCAGCCGGTCGCCCGACTTCGGGCTGAACTTCCTGCTTCCTCTTGAGGCGCAGTATTTATTACGTATGGAATAGTCCATTATGTTATTATGGGTAAGGTCCCATAACAGAACTAATGTCACGAAATAATCCTTTCACGTTTGGTAATGTTGTTTAGCAGCATATCTACCTCTATGGGTTACCGAAATGTAAATATTTTGTACGCAATTTTATGTCTTCAACTACAGATATTTTGTACATAATTTTATTTATAGGTTGGTTGGTTGATGTTATTTAGCGGCATATCAACCTCTATGGGTTATTTAATGCCGAAATCTAAACATTTTATACGCAATTTTATGCCTTCAACTACAGATATTTTGTTCATAATTTTATACTTTTAGGTTGGTTGGTTGCTGTTGAGAGTGAGATCCAGAAAGTTTTGAGTACCTCTTGTCACTAGTAATGACTTGTGAAATGGGAATTAGATGGTCATGGAGTCACGTTTTTGTAAGGTGTTGTTTCCAGGGTTGATTTAATACAACACGTACAATTCTTGTATATATGTCATCTAGTTCCTTTTCTGCTCGTTTTGTCATTGTCTATCCAGTGCTATCTTACAGCAAGTCTAACACAGTTATAGCTTAGAATAAATCTCGTTTCATTTGATCCGGTAAAGCAGATTCCCAGGCTATTGACAGCTTTTGTTCATTGAAGTCCAAGCTTTGCCGTAGTGAATAATATTTTCGTCGAGTGCGCCGCAAATCAGGCCTTCTGTCAAATTTTCTTTTGTCAAAAAGAAACAATACTTTAGATTAAGTAATAATCAATGCACACTCTATAGAAACGGGATGGTAATGTGACACGTTCCACTCTTCAATAAATCAGTTGTTTTTGTTTACATTAGAGAATTATATGATATCCCTTGTCTTTTTTTTTGTTTTTGCTCAACAGGATAAATTTCATTTTAGTGACGGCTTGTTTCTCTCGAGTCTTAGAATAAATTACAAAACCATCCATCCAAAAGTTGATATATTACATATAAAATCTAAAAATAGTCTTATATAGAAATATATATGTGTGTGCGCGCACGATTATATATACGTGTATATTCACATGATCACCGATACAGTTATAAACACACACACACATATATATATATATATATATATATATATATATATATATATACTAGGAAAATTAATGACAAAGTGGAAAAAACTTTTCGCGTGACGCGTTTCGTCCTTTAGGACTTCATCGGACTAAAGTGATGTTTATGTTGATGTGACTACACCTGTACATGAAGGAGAGGGGAAGCTGGAAATTTAAACTTTTAAATTTAATCTTTTTATGTGTTTTGGGTGTATAGTCTAACCAATATAATTTAGTTTCTCTTTCTTTTTGTTCAAATTTTTATCACTTTTGTTACTGTGTATCCCACATTTTGATCATAGATCTGCCAAGAAAGGTGAAATGTTGCAACTTTACTGCGAATAATCTAGCGATTAAAGCACTTTCTATACATTTTCGTCTTTTTAAATTACTTTCTCTTATAATTAAAGTAGCATTTGTTAAATTGAAATTATAGTTACGATGAGCATCTAAAGGGCGAAACGCATCATACGAAAAAAATTTCCACTTTGTGATTAATTTCTCTAACATTAAATTTTAACATTTTATATACCATTTATCATGGTATATAAAAATTTATATATCATTTTCACCTCATGCACACACACATACACACACACACATATATGTATATATTCATATTATGTATATATATATATATATATATATATATATATATATATATATATATATATATATATATATATTGTAATCGCAATGGTGAGATTTCTCAAGTTATATATATATACTTCGGTAGTGTAGTGAAATTGATTTCGTTTTCTTTCACCCAACTGTTACCCAATATCAGATAAAGCTTGATAAATAGCTACATGAAAGTAAAATAAAATTAGACAGGCAAGCACAGAATGTTTCGAAGACAAAATAGTCCTG